ATGGGATCCATCATGGGAGGGAGCATGGCTGACCAAGGAGAGCAACTGCAGTCCGTCTCCCTAGAAGCATTCCTATAAGAATGTTTAATGATGGCCAAACAACCTTGGCTGTCCTCTGGCCACTGAGCTGGCAACGCTTCTGAAGGCCTTCCATAGGCAGATGTCCTACCAGGGAAACTGGAACCAGATGTACTCAAGATCTCAGAAGAAATTAATGGCAATAAGACTCTGGGGTAAAAATATCTCTGGGCACTGAGCTTGCTTACTCCACTCCCTTTCTATCTAAGGATCTTTTAGGCTTAATTATAGAGTTCGGGCATTCATTGGGGTTTTAATTAATTTTCTTTTCAGCTTGAAGCATGTGTGACTGTAGCAGGTCTGTGTGTGTGTGTGTGTGTTTACATCTTTCTTTGCAACTCAGTCGGGAGCTGGCTCTGGCAATGTTTAATTGTGCCCTCGGTTCTAGCAAGAACGTTCAAGGTGCCAACCGGAGCTTGGAAAGCCATTGTTTCCAATACCTCTGCCCCACATGCTGCTCCTGACGCACTGAGGGATGGCGGGTGGCAGGGCCTTGCTCAGCTGGGACCTCAGCTGTGGGATGCACGCTTTCCTCCTCCTTTTGTGCTCATGGTGTTTCAGGGATTCTCAGACCAGGAGAGCAGATTTCCTACTCCACTAATTACCAGTACTGTGTTAAGAGATGCCAGCTCCCACACTGCAGCCCCCGACAGGCTTTCTTCTGGGCAAATCTCCCTGGGGATTACACAGTTTTCTGCAGAAGAAAACAGTGTTACTTCTCTTATTTTAATATGTCCACTTAGTAGACTGGTAGGGACTACATGACTGTGTGGGTGAAAGTGACTTGCTTTCTCCTTTCCTTCGTTCTCTTTTGTGCTCTCTAGGCAGGGAACAACGCGGGAGGCACCACAGTATAGTGTAATAGCATGGGATTTGGAGCCAAGTGGCTCAGTTTGAATCCTAACTCATGACATTTTCTATTTGCGTGCCTGTGGATAAGTCACTTAACTCCTTTGGATCTCAATTTATTGTCTGTAAAAAGGGGATAATAATAGCAATATCAACAACAATATTACACTCATAAGACTGTCTGGGGATGACAAAATGCATGTGGAAGCCTTTTGTAAAATACTCCATAAATTGTAGTTCTCTTATTTTACTGCTCAGAACTACTGCTGAGAACATGATTTTGACCTGTGAGATATTCCTAGCACCAGGAAAGAGGGAGTTTCAAAAAGGCCCATGGAAGGGGAGGCAGAGAAGGAACTTGCCTCCAACCTTCCCTTCCAACCTTGACCAAAGCAATGAACTGGGAATGCAGGATGCTGCAAAGGGCCCAGATTAAGAGTTCAATGTCAGAACAGCTTGCATAGGTAAAAGGAAACCAGGAACATTCATTTTTTTGAACATACTTGTGACAGGGATTTCCCCCTGTTCTTGAAAGGATGGATTCAATTGTCTATTGTGCTAAAAGGGTGAATGGCTCAAGGTTGGTGACAATGCTTTGGCTGGAGACAAGGGGAGAACTGTGGGTCTTAGGTAAGTGTGACCATGCTGTGATATGAGATATGGGAGACCTAGGGTCTTCTCTTGGCTCTGCTGCTAATTATGACCCCTTGAATGATGTGACCCTGAATAGATGAGCTAATATAGCTCGACTTCAATTTCCTTGAGATCACGGAATAAAAAAAATCTCAAAGGTGACTAAAGAATCTATGACCTGATGAAATGCTCTTTTCCACACAGGAATTAAAAACTCTTGTGCCAACTGTTGTGTGTATATGTGTTTAGAATCTAAATATAGTACTAAGATCACCCAACTAAAACCTAATCAAAGCACCACAGGAGCCCCTTTAAGCTGATGGTATCTGGCATCAGACCCAGGGACTGTCAGGGGAAGAAAGCCCTCATGGGAGGATGGGGGTGACCCCAACAGAGATTTCAAGGTGAATTCTCTCTTCTTGGGGAGTTTCATTTGGCAATATCCTGATTAGCTGAAAGGTAATAATCTAAGGATGACAGAAAGAAAAGGGATCATTTCCTTGTAAAGCAACTATAACTTTAAAATAATAGGCTGCAGGGCAATAGAGCATTCTGCCAGGCTGATTTCAGAATTGAGAGGCCCAACTATGGAGTTCACAACACTATCACCGACAATAATCATAATGTATATTTGCATAGTGCCTTTAACTTTCATAAGCACTTTCCCATCTACTTTTCTCATTTTTGTTGTTACATAATTTTCCAGAAAAACTTGTGGGAGGTCATTTCTTTGAAAACTCTGAAAAGTGTGAGTTCTTCAATAGGAACAAGTCTAGCTAAATATGTAGCACCTTGCTTTATAAATACAATACAAGTTATGCTATAAACATAACTGTGTAAGTAGTATCTTATTTTAATGGGCAGAAATCTTGTGTAGTATTTTGCAATGTAAAAAATAGTTCCTCATTGGGCCTCCCTGGTGGCGTAGTGGTTGAGAATCCGCCTGCCGATGCAGGGGATACGGGTTCGTGCCCCGGTCCGGGAGGATCCCACATGCCGCGGAGCGGCTGGGCCCGTGAGCCATGGCCGCTGAGCTTGCGCGTCCGGCAACGGGAAAGGCCACGACAGTGAGAGGCCCACATATCGCGCAAAAAAAAAAAAAAAATTTTCTTTAGTGATTTAAAATAATGTCTTTTTCATATGTTAAACGTGCCCCGGCGGGAGGATCCCACATGCCGCGGAGCGGCTGGGCCCGTGAGCCATGGCAGCTGGGCTTGCGCGGCCGGCAACGGGAAAGGCCACGACAGTGAGAGGCCCACATATCGCGCAAAAAAAAAAAAAAAAGTTCCTCATTAACCTTCTGTTTGTTACAATTTTAGATTTTTAAATATCAGGTTTTCTTAAAGTAGGGCCAACAGGGATTGGATTCCAGGATAAGTATCCACACTCCAGAATTCCATAAGGGTAGCATCTAATTCATTCACAGGGAGAGAGTCCTGTTTCTGACATCAGAGTGGAAATTAAGCAGTTTTATATTTAAACCATGGAGCTCTCTGGGACTACCTCTCCCATAAAACAAGGAGGCATAACATGGGAAGTGACAGAGGAATCCAAATGTAATAGCTGAATTATTTCTAAATGGAATGTCTCCAGGTCTTCTGTGAGTCACCGATGTGTCATTAACGTGGTGTTATAAATAGCTCAGCTTGCCATCAATAACTGATCTATAAGAGAGTAGCTGGTGGTTGGGGTGTGAGATTAACACTACATAATTTGGAGTGGATCTGTTAACCCTCTCATGTGAATAAGCACCATCTCCTGGGACCTGAAGTGACCTGAAATAAATTAGACTAAATTGCATTTTTAATAAAAGTAATAAACAAGTCCTCCTGTTTTTTCTTCTCCATTTTCAAACTGATAAAAGACAGGTCACTGGAGCCAACCATGGGATTGTAATAATTGTGTTGAATCGTAACTCTCTCATCTCTGAAATTAGGCTGGCAGTATCCACCCATAAAATCCACGATGATATTATGAGAGTTTTATAATTATTTTGCATGGGGGGGTTTGAACAAGGATCTATCATCTATCTATCTATCTATCTATCTATCTATCTATCTATCTATCATCTATCATCTATCTATCTATCAATCAAAATTAGCACTATGGAGAATAAAAGGAAAAGCTCTTTTTGTAGTGATTTAAAAGCTCTTTCTGTGGGGCTTCCCTGGTGGCGCAGTGTTTGGGAGTCCGCCTGCCGATGCAGGGGACGCGGGTTCGTGCCCCGGTCCGGGAAGATCCCATATGCCACGGAGCGGCTGGGCCCGTGAGCCATGGCCGCTGAGCCTGCGCGTCCGGAGCCTGTGCTCCGCAACGGGAGAGGCCACAACAGTGAGAGGCCCGCGTACAGCAAAAAAAAAAAAAAAAAGCTCTTTCTGTGGTGATCCATATGGTAAAGACTGGATACTTTTAAAAGTTTATATTGCCCTGACTAAAGATCTCAGCAGTACAGGTTTACTTACTGTGAGTAACTCAGATTTTCATTAAGAGTCTGAAGTTAAGACTTATGAAGCACTTTCTCACAAATGCTCAAGCAGTTAGAGTTGAGCTTCTGTGAAGTTGAGCTAAAATAAACATATATAGGTACAAAGTATATGTACTGGGTATGCATAAAGCCTACAAGCACACATGAAGGTACAGCTGGCAAATCTGCTAGTAATTATGCTATATATATCCTGGCATGTGTGCTTGCATGTGTGAATGTGTAACAGTAAAAATACTATTCTTACTTGTAGAAACGTTCTTGAAACTCTACATGGGTTCATGGCTTATGAACAGTTATCTTTTTGTAAATTTAGGGCTGGTAATGGGAACAGAATAAGCAGCTGTAAACAAAATCACAATTCGGGTTTCACTAAAAACATGGTGAAGGCCCCAAATATCACAGCTATTGCAGAATACAGAACTATCTATCCAAATACTGTGATTGAGGATACTTTAAATAAGCAGTTTTTGGAAAGAGGTGGGTAGATGGAACCATTGAGAGTCACCATCAGTTAGAACTATGGTCAGCAACTTGGACAGTTCCTAGGAGGCTCTCCCTCAGAATAGAACCAATATCATGTCTCCAGTTTTCTTAGCGTTTCTTTCATTCCAGTGAGTGTGTTGATGATTAACTAAGACATGCACAGGTATTATTTTGCAATAACAAATTATTCCCTCCTCCTTCCATTGCCCATTCTCTTCACCACCTGACTTTCCTTCCAACCCTTTCCCCAGCACCCTCCAGTTGGGCAGTGGAACTGTATGTCTTACAAACACCTGGTGTGGATGTTTTCACTCCCACTTCTAATTGGTTGGGAAGCAGCATTTGCCACAGGCACTGTTTAATTTTGTTTCCATCCCCTGCATCTCACAGGAAAGAAATGGTCAATAGTTCAAAGAATCATCCTGGTCAGCTCCAAAATATGGCTACTTGCATGGTAATCACAGCAAGTCTGTCAAATCAGTGATTTCTTTATTCCTAAAAGGAAGGGATTTTTCCTAAGGATTATGGTTCTACCACCCAAGGAGCAGCTCTACTCTTCACAAGTGGCTGCAAAGGCTGGCAAACCACGAGGTCTGCTTTGGCTCAGAAACTCAGTTTGGCTCCTGCCACCCCTGGCAACCTCACTGTGTGTCTCAGTGGCGTGTGCTCCACACACAGTCAGGCCAGTCTGCTTCTACTTAGGAGGGATCACAACCAGAGGTGGCCCCCGCTTGGGCCTCCACATGAGGACCTGGGCATCGTTGGCATTGGGTTTCACTAGTGCGTTGGGGGGGATAGGTTCCATCCGGCTCAGGATCCGGGGCTGCTCCTGCTGAGTCCTGCCCACCAGCCGGGCCCGTTGCCCCAAGAGCTGAAGAGGGTCCACCTCAATGTCCACCCTCATCCTCCACTTGATCGTCTGCAGAATGATCTTCTCTTTCGTGGTGGTGTTCATGGCCACCAGCCAGGTAGTGAAACTTTGGTCCCTCTTGATCCTCGTGAGCAGTGGCACATTGCTGTCACTCACTGGCACTGCCCATGTCACACTGGGGTAGAAATTGTCATTCATGCTGACGGAGAACCTGGAGATCTTGTTGGTGGGGCCAACCAGGGTCACAGTTTCTGTGGTGTTCCCGTACCAAGGGTAGCTCACCCCATCTGAGTCACTGATGGCTTTTACTCTCCCTTCCCTCAAGTCAGGCAGTTCCCAGCTTGACCTGGCAAAGCAGAAGAGATGCACAAGAAAAGAAGAGGCTGAATGAATTTTTCAAAAGCTGGAGAGATGCCCACCACTTACTATCACAGTCAACTTGGGCAAAATGGGAAGTTCGGAGGGGAATTCAGGTCAAAAAGTTCTATGCTGTGCTGTTTTGGGATTAAATGAGAACAAATCAAAATTAAAAAAGCAATACCAGAACAAGTTAAATTAAGCCATAGCTGGTCCAACTGGAAGCAAAAAGCTCAAAGAAGCATTTATGAGACCCACAAAGAGGCATCAATTAGCTGGAGTGGTGCAATTGTAGTGAACTACCTAGAGGCATTCGATTGCAAAAACCACTTTTTCAGGTAGTATCACGTCTCTAAGGTTTGTTAAGAAAAGGTGGTGGTTGAAATCTGACATACTTGGAAGGAAGTATCAGGTGGAAAGGAGGGCAAAGGGAGGTAAGGTTAAAGGTTATGCTGATTCCCTAGGAAATCAAAGTAGTAGAATTTCTACTCAGCAAAGAAAGTTGTTTAAATTCTAGTCATTGGCCAATCCAGCGTTTAGAAAACAGACACAGAAACTGATAACACAGGAGATAATGGTCACCTTTGGGGAAACACTTCAATGTGCAAGTTGTGCCATAGGCTGGCATACATAGTCTCTACTATGTTGTTCTCCCATCAACTTTAAGTCCAGCCTGGAAGTCTAATTGCTTAGTTTAGCAAACTTGCCATTCTGGGTACTTTGTTACTCCTGGCTGCTCCCAACCTTGAACAGAGGGAAGGAGGAGCAAATGTGCCCTACTCTTAGCCCATGTGTCTCCCGCAGTGCTATGGACTACTCATCATCATCATCATAGCTGATACTTACTGAATGCTTGCAGTATTCCGACCACCGTGCTGAGTACTTTAATCATGTCTTCTCAGTTAATGCTCAAAATATCCCACAAAATAAATACATTTTTATTTCCATTTACACATGAGAGGGTGGAGGCTTAAAGATGTTAAGGTACATGCCAAGGGTTCTACAGATTGTAAGACGTGGAGCTTGGAGTTGTCTGACGCCAAAGTCTATGTTTTTGACCACCGTGCTACACTGCCTTCTGAAGTGTCCTTACATGATGCTGGAGGAAGCCAGAGTGGAGGGCATTCAGGCTATCCAGTGGGCTAGCAGCTCCCAGAGCTGCCATGGGAAGATAGACTGGGTCCTCCTAGGGGCAGACATTTAGTCAGCAGAACCTGACTATGCATCCTCCATAAATCCTTTCCTGGGACCAAGAATGACTCTCAGCAGTGTTGCATGAGACTTTAATAATTAAGGAAAGAAATGAGACTGTCCACTCATCAGCTAAGAGGGGGAAGTCTTGTTCGAAACGAAGTTCTTCTCTTAGGAAGTGACAGAATATCCTACGACTTTATTTTTTCTTTTTAAATATTTTTATTGAAATATAGTTGAACAAAATATGTTACATGTGTGTAATATAATGATTCACAATTTTTAAAGCTTATACTACATTTAGTTATTATAAAATATTGGCCATATTCCCTGTGTTGTACAATATATCATTGTAGCTTATTTTATTATTTATTTATTCAGTTATTTTTTAGCACCTTTATTGGAGTATAATTGCTTTACAATGGCGTGTTAGTTTCTGCTTAATAACAAAGTGAATCAGCTATACATATACATATATCCCCATATCTCCTCCCTCTTGCGTCTCCCTCCCACTCTCCTTATCCCACACTTCTAGGTGGTCACAAAGCACTGAGCTGACCTCCCTGTGCTATGCGGTTGCTTCCCACTAGCTACCTATTTTACATTTGGTAGTGTATATATGTCCATGCCACTCTCTCACTTCGTCCCAGCTTACCCTTCCCCCTCTCCGTGTCCTCAAGTCCATTCTTTATGTCTGCGTCTTTATTCCTGTCCTGCCGCTAGGTTCATCGGGACCGTAGTTTTTAGATTCCATATATATGTGTTAGCATATGGTATTTGTTTTTCTCTTTCTGACTTACTTGACTCTGTGTGACAGACTCTAGGTCCATCCACCTCACTACAAATGACTAAATTTCGTTTCTTTTTATGGCTCAGTAATATTCCATTGTATATATGTGCCACATCTTCTTTATTCATTCAACTGTTGATGGGCATTTAGGTTGCTTCCATGTCCTAGCTATTGTAAATAGAGTTGCAATGAACATTGTGGTACATGACTCTTTTTGAATTATGGTTTTCTCAGGGTATATGCCCAGTAGTGGGATTGCTAGGTCGTACGGTAGTTCTATTTTTAGTTTTTTAAGGAACCTCCATACAGTTCTCCATAGTGGCTGTATCAATTTACATTCCCACCAACACTGCAAGAGGGTTCCCTTTTCTCCACACCCTCTCCAGCACGTATTGTTTGTAGATTTTTTTTAAATAAATCTATTCATTTCTTTATTTATTTTTGGCTGTGCTGGGTCTTTGTTGCTGCGCTCGGGCTTTCTCTAGTTGCGGTGAGCGGGGGCTACTCTTTGTTGCGCTGCGCGGGCTTCTCATTGCGGTGTCTTCTCTTGTTGCGGAACATGGGCTCTAGGCATGCAGGCTTCAGTAGCTGTGGCTCATGGGCTCTAGAGTGCAGGCTCAGTAGTTGTGGAACACGGGCTTAGTTGCTCCGTGGCATGTGGGATCTTCCATGCCCAGGGCTCGAACCCGTGTCCCCTGCATTGGCAGGTGGGTTCCCAACCACTGTGCCACCAGGGAAACCCCTGTAGATTTTTTGATAATGGCCATTCTGACTGGTGTGAGGTGATACCTCGTAGTTTTGATTGGCATTTCTCTGGCGATTAGTGATGTTGAGCATCCTTTCATGTGTGTGTTGGCAATCTGTATATCTTCTCTGGAGAAATGTCTATTTAGGTCTTCTGCCCATGTTTGGATTGGGTTGTTTTTTTGATATTGAGCTGCATGAGCTGCTTATAAATTTTGGAGATTAATCCCTTGTCAGTTGCTTCATTTGCAAATATTTTCTCTCTTTCTGAGGGTTGTCTTTTCATCTTGTTTATGGTTTCCTTTGCTGTGCAAAACCTTTTAAGTTTCATTAGGTCCCATTTGTTTAATTTTGTTTTTATTTCCATTCCTCTAGGAGGTGGGTCAAAAAGGATCTTGCAGTGATTTATGTCATAGAGTGTTCTGCCTATGTTTTCCTCTAAGAGTTTTATAATGTCTGGCCTTACCCTTAAATCTTTAATCCATTTTGAGTTTATTTTTGTGTATGGTGTTAGGAAGTGTTCTAATTTACTTCTTTTACATGTAGCTCTCCAGTTTTCCCAACACAACTTATTCAAGAGGCTGTCTTTCCTCCATTGAATATCCTTGCCTCCATTATGAAAATAAGGTGACCATATGTGTGTGGGTTTATCTCTGGTTTTCCTATCCTGTTCAATTAATCTATATTTCTGTTTCTGGGCCAGTACCATACTGTCTTGGTTACTGTAGCTTTGAAGTATTGTCTGAAGTCAGGGAGCCTGATTCCTCCAGCTCCATTTTTCTTTCTCAAGATTGCTTTGGCTATTTGGGGGTCATTTGTGTTTCCATACAAATTGTAAAAATTTTTTGTTCTAGGTCTGTGAAAAATGCCATTGGTAGTTTGATAAGGATTGCACTGAATCTGTAGATTGCTTTGGGTTGTATAGTCATTTTCACAATGTTGATTCTTCCTGTCCAGGAACATAGTATATCTCTCCATCTGTTTGTATCATCTTTACTTTCTCTCATCAGTGTCTTATAGTTTTCTGCATACAGGTCTTTTGTCTCCTTAGGTAGGTTTATTCCTAGGTATTTTTTTCTTTTTGTTGCAGTGGTAAATGGGAGTGTTTCCTTAATTTCTCTTTCAGATTTTTCATCATTAGTGTATAGGAATGCAAGAGATTCTGTGCTTTAATTTTGTATCCTGCTACTCTACCAAATTCGCTGATTAGCTCTAGTAGCTTTCTGGTAGCATCTTTAGGATTCTCCATGTATAGTATCATGTCATCTGCAAACAGTGAGAGCTTTACTTCTTCTTTTCTGATTTGGATTTCTTTTGTTTCTTTTTCTTCTCTGACTGCTGTGGCTAAAACTTCCAAAACGTTGTTGAATAACAGTGGTGAGAGTGGACACCCTTGTCTTTTCCCTGATCTTAGAGGAAATGGTTTCAGTTTTTCACCATTGAGAACGATGTTGGCTGTGGATTTGTCATATATGGCCTTTATTATGTTGAGGTAGGTTCCCCCTATGCCCGCATTCTGGAGAGTTTTTCTCATAAATGGGTGTTGAATTTTGTTGAAAGCTTTTTCTGCATCTGTGGAGATTATCATACGGTTTTTATCCTTCTATTTGTTAATATGGTGTATCACATTGATTGATTGCATATATTGAAGAATCCTTGCATTCCTGGAATAAACCCCACTCGATCATGGTGTATGATCCTTTTAATGTGCTGTTGGATTCTGTTTGCTATGATTTTGTTGAGGATTTTTCCATCTATGTTCTTCAGTGATATTGGCTTGTAGTTTTCTTTTTTTGTGACATCTTTGTCTGGTTTTGGTATCAGGGTGATGGTGGCCTCGTTGAATGAGTTTGGGAGTGTTCCTCCCTCTGCTATATTTTGGAAGAGTTTGAGAAGGATGGGTGTTAGCTCTTCTCTAAATGTTTGATAGAATTCACCTGTGAAGCCATCTGGTCCTGGGCTTTTGTTGGGAGATTTTTAATCACAGTTTCAATTTCAGTGCTTGTGATTGGTCTGTTCATATTTTCTGTTTCTTCCTGGTTTGGACTTGGAAGGTTGTACTTTTCTAAGAATTTCTCCATTTCTTCCAGGTTGTCCATTTTATTGGCATAGAGTTGTTTGTAGTAATCTCTCATGATCCTTTGTATTTCTGCAGTGTCAGTTGTTACTTCTTCTTTTTCATTTCTAATTCTATTGATCTGAGTCTTCTCCCTTCTTTTCTTTTTTTTTTTCTTGTTTTTTTTTTTGCGGTACGTGGGCCTCTC